CTTTCTACTCATCCATAGAAATGGCGTCAATCTGATCTACCTTGAAGTGGAGTGTCCGTGAGGATCTGTGAGGGCCTGTGACATCAGGCACAGTCCAGCGAGGAGAAAGGATAGGGCAAGGGAGAGTGGGAACTACAGGATATATAACACAGCTGTCAGCAAGTGAAGGTGGGGAGGCACCAAGACTCTGACCAATGCAACACTTTGAAAGGCCCTCAGGAGTTCAGTCAGGTGAGAATAAGTCCTTTGCTTTTCCATTTGCTCCTTACAATTTGTTGAGGCTCTCCAATGAATCAGTATTGTAAAAACAGGGTTTTTTCCCACACCAAATTCTCAACAAGTAGTTTATTTTCCAATACGTCCTCTCATGTCATACTTCCAAGAGGGAAATTGGGGAAACACCAAGATGGCTGCCAAACTGAAATGCTCATAGTGCATAGAGACTCATTAATCTTCTCAGTGCATTAACCTGCTGAGGAAGAATGTTCTTTTCTACCCCATGGCCCTTTGCTTGTAATGTGCTCACGGGAATTTCTTCTGCTCTCTTCTCTTCACACCAAATTGTTCCACAAAGAGCACTGAGGAGACTGAAGATATGGTTTCTCATTCAGAAGATGTGTGTTCTCTAGGTGACAGTGTGAGCCCACGAAAGTCATTTTACACCTATGGGTCTAAGTCTCCACATCTGTAAAGAGCTTAGATCAGATCAGGTTTGGCAAACAGGTGTCATCTTGAGCATCAGCTCTGTCTGGAGTCCTCTCTTGAGAAGGACTCTGAAGCCACAACTGAGGTTCAGTGAAAAAAGAAGTGTCAGGATTGATTAGTAATGTCTGCTGAGGGCAGGGTACAGGAACTGGTATACTGGTGTTTGCCATTTCTGATTAGAGGAGCTCTAAAAATTCCTTCTAGCTATAACTCCTCTTTTCTCATTGAGTGGGAACAGGTGAACTTCTCCTTTTCCAGAGGCCAAAGTAACTAGTGGAAAAACTCAAATGATCTTATTTCACTGCAAGAATACAGAATAAGAAATTATCTAAAGTAATAATGATACCTAACATTTAGGGCGCCTGGGTGGCTCAGTTGGTTAATCGACTGCCTTCGGCTCAGGTCATGATCCTGGAGTCCTGGGATCGAGTCCCGCATCGGGCTCCCTGCTCAGCAAGGAGTCTGCTTCTCCCTCTGACCCTCCCCCCTCTCATGCTCTCTTTCTCATTCTCTCTCTCTCAAATAAATAAATAAAATCTTTAAAAAAATAAAAAAATAATAATGATACCTAACATTTAATAAGCACTTACTGTGGTCTGGACACTGTTCTAAGTGTTTTTAAACAATTATCTAGTTTAAGGCTCACAACAGCCCTGCGAGGTAGGGACTGTAACTATCCCATTTAAGCTAATGAAGAAACCGAAGCACAGAGATGTTAAATAACTTGTCCAAGGTCTTAAAGGTAATAACTGTGCAACTAGAATTGAACCTCACAGTCTAATTCTGGAGTCCACACGCTTAGCCTGTCACTCCACATCAGACATCCCCTGGGAGCTTGCTAGTAATGCAGACTCTTAGGCCCCACCCAGACCTACTGAATTAGAATCGGCATTTCAACAAGCTCCCCAAATGATTCATATGCACATTACCCTTGAGAACCTCTGGTCTACACCATATTGTCTCCTAGGAGGATATTAACTACCATTTTTAAATGCTTATAATACGCATGTACTGTGCCACTCGTTATGCCCATGTAATTGCATTTCATCCACATAAAAATCCTAGACGGGAAATCCTACAAGATCGATGGACTGATCAATGTCAATATTCTTTTTTTTCTTTTTTGTTTTCAATGTCAGTAATCTGGTTGTGATATTATATTGTAGTTTCACAAGATGTTACCACTTGGGGAAAGGATACATAGGATCTCTCTGTATTCTTTCTTATAATTGCATGCACATCTATAATTATCTCAAAATAAAAAGTGTAATTAAAAAATCCCATGATACAGGTTTTATTTTTCCTACTTTTATTGTTGAGGAAACAGAAGTTTTGTTTTTTTTTTTTTGTTTTTTTTTTTTAAAGGAATGTTTATTGGATGGGATGAGTTGTAAGTTGGAAAGCCAGTGAGAAGGTGTATAATGAGGTGATAAAGGTAAGCATCAAGGAGGAGGTACAGACAATAGAAAATAAAATGTCAGAAGTCATACTGGTAAAAAATATTGAACTTCCTTCCCTTCACATTCCTAAGAATAGAAAGTTAATATTAAATACATTAAAAATATTCATTACAAACATAATAATAATAGCAACAATAATAATAAAAATAGTAAGAATGAAATAATCTTTAACAGGTCTTTCAGATGTTTACTTGCATCATTCTTGAAACTCCATAGGAGCTCAACAGCAGTTTGTATTGCCTTCTTTCAACGGCGTTTTGAGAGCAAAATTTTCTTTGCTTTCATGAAGAAAAGCCTTCGAAGGATCAAAGTGTTTGATACCAAGAACTTTATTCAATTCCTCCTGTAGTTTTGTCTCACTTTGTTTTCTTTTAGCAAGCTGAGAGCGGAGTTTTGACACCTCCGATTTGAGTTGGCTATTTTCATCTTTCAGTTTCACAACATGCTTGATTTTTTGCTTTAGATTTTGATGACCCAGTAATTTAGCATACGAATCTCTTAGTTTATTTAGTTGTTCCTGAGCTGCACCATGTTCATTCAACAAAGCCTGTTTCTCTGCTTCAAATGCATCCAGTTGTAGCTGAAAAGGTTTCGTTTTATTATAATATAGTGAGGAAACAGAAGTTTTAAAGAGGCTAAGCAGCCCAACTCTGCAAATAAGGGTTGTGGTCCTACTATGTGCAGGGGACTTTTGTAGGCACTGGGGACACAGCAGCAAACAAACATTGCTCTCACTGAGCTATCATTCTATTGCAGGCAGTCAGAATTCAAACCCAGACCTGGCTTGCTAAGTAAGTCCTCTACTGCTCACATTTTGGAATGTGGTAAATAATAGGGCTATGAGTGGTTAACACATTTGCAGAATTTCTAGGCAGATGTGTATGAAAGCCTCTAACAGTGCCAGGCACAAGGTAAGCACTCAATTAATTCCCTTTCTTTCTTTCCTTGCAACCATCTCAGAGGCCACAAATGAGCCTCAACCTCCACCCTGACCCAACACGAATTTTATCCTTCACCCAACTGGATGGAGTCCAGTGATAGGACCATTTTGAGTAGTAGTAACCCAAGCCTCAAACTGTTCGTGGAATTCAATGAAGGTGATATTCCAAGGTTTGGAGCAGTACCATTTGAAACCTGTCAAGGAGTCAGTGGTGAGCATTTTTCTGAATGTCAGCTCTTTTCACAGCATGGTTCTGAATGAATGCTCTTAAGCAAGACCAGATTTATGGCCAGAACAATTGCTTAGACCTCAGGTCTCTGAGTGATACCTGTCTAACCGATCCAAAGATTGGATTCATCCTCACACAAGGAATTTTCCTTCAAATACCATAAGAACAATTCATCTTGGCAATAGACGCTTGCCATCTTTCTTAAAGACAAACCAGTGGGCTGGGGCAGGAGATAATAGGAGCCATCTTCCAGAGAAAAGAATGTTGCAGATGCTAGATTCAAGGGCATCGAGAGTTTGACCACAGGTAACTAGCTAACTCTCAGACAGAGAATGGTTTGAGCCAGGGAACTTACCAGAAATGAGCATGTGTTTTTCCTCTGTGGAATCACTCAGAGGACAACACCACCTAGGACAGAAATTCTTCAAACCAAGATTGCCACATCTCTCTTGGCTCCAATTTCTTGCTTTGCATTCAGCTCTTACAAGCATGTGCTATATATAGGCAAGAAGAAAGTAAACAAGGAAGGAAGATCAACATTCCTGGGTGCCAACTATGTGCAAGGCACTCGGCTGAGCCTTCCCATTTAATGTAACTTAATCTTGTGAGGAAGACATTATCAACCCTATTCTACGGATGAAATAATGGGGGCTCAGAGAGGGTAAAATCTTTGCCTTAGTACTGCAGAGCCAGGATTCAAACCAGCTGTCCTGATCCTGATTCGCTCTTTCAATCATATCACTGTCTACCCAGAAAAGACCCTGTTGAGAATCTCTAAGTAAACCATTAAATCAACTGTTACAGACCAACACTTCAACTCTGAAGGGAAATGTCTCCTTTTGGTGGCCCATCCCCTGTGGGCTACCATATGGAATTGGAATTTACTGAGGTTCTAACATAATTTTTGATATCATTTGTCAAAGGATGGAGAAACACGTGGCACATGAGAATTGCTGAGACGTTGGCATCAGCCAGACCAGAGTTCAAACCCCAGTCCCACCATTTTCCAGCTGCATGACATTACACACAAGCTTGGACACTGCCCACCCTTCTATCTTCTCTCCTATACATTGGGGATGATTCCTATGTAGAAAGGTCTGGTAAAACAAGTACTAAACATTGTGGTGATCATTTTACAATCATTTCACAATATGTGTAAGTTAAGACATTATAGTATCTGGTGTTGTGTGTCAATTATACCACAATAAAACTGGGGGAAAAAAAGAAAGAAAAAAGCCCTAACTGGAAAAAAAAGATTCAGGTTTTTTTTTAAGCATTAAGTACTTTAAAAAATAGTAAAATTATTTAATGGCTGTTTTTTCCACTTCATCATTCACCTGTTTGACCCTACAGTTGATTACTTAAGACAGCTCTAAAATCCAAGTCAACCCTACTTAAACTGATGAATTCATATTAGTTTGCATATTTTTAAAAAATATTTTCATATACATTAGAACAGTTGCATATTCAATAAAAATGGCTCCAGTTCAAAGTCTAATGTGCTCCTACTGTGTATAATGCTGACATCCCCAATAAGCAGACTGTGTTTGTATTTAGGGCACCACAATGTACAAACCTATTTTTGAAAGAACTTGATATATATAAATAAATAAATACTCATCTTGGGCAACCATGTCTTCATTATACTATGTTTACAGTTTAATATGCTTCTGAATTACATCTATGAGGAGGCCCCATAATCTTTCCAGTGCTTATTGGCAGTAGGGGAAATGGGTTTGGGTCCAGAATAGATGAGGTTTCTGCACAGAGAGAAAAAAAGAAGGAAAAGGGTGTTTTTTTCCCTTCCAGAGAGGGAGCTTTGCAGAGAACAGTAAGCTGATGCCTTAGGGTGGTAGGTAATGTCATGTCTATAACCTTGAGGCTGCTTCAGAAGCCATAGTGCTTCTCAGCCTGCCTTCCATCTGTTTTCCCCCATCCCACTGCTCCCCCATCTCCAGGAACTTGGTGTGGACCCTGGGGTTGCACTGTGAGGGGCCTTGATCTAATTAGGGCAGTTCTTCCTCCCCCCCCTTCCTCCTTCTGACTTCCCATTCTCCTTCCCTCCCTGCCTTCCTATCGTCTAGAGCACTTTCTGTTTGCCATTTACCATTCTAGATGTGGAAGCTGGGGCTATCAATAAAACAGACAAGGTCCTGCCCTGAAGGAGCTTATACTCTAATGGGGAGGTGTTGGGGAGGAGGTGAGAAGAGAGACAATTAGCCAGGAAACATAATTTAAGTCACATAAGTTACCCTAAAAGAGTTAAGGATAGTAGTAAGAGCAATGAAAAAATACAACAGGGACATGAAATAGAGAATGACTGGTGGTAGCCACAGAATGGCCTCAGTCTGACAGCATGATCGGGGAAGGCTTCTGTGAGGAGGTGACGTTTGGGTTGAGAACTGAATGATAACGAGGAACCAGTCATGCCACAATCTGGGGGGAGGATTTCCAGACAGGAAAAATAGCAAGTGTGAAGTCTCTGGGACAGGAGCAGGTCTGCCATGTTTGAAGAACCGTGTGAAGGCCAAGGTGGTTGGACCACACATAATCAGTGAGGGAGAAAGACATTTGAGATACAGTTGGGGAAGTAGACAGGCTATAACGAGGAGTTCAGACTTTATTCTGCATGTAAAAGGAAGCCATTTGAGGGGGTTTGGGGAAAGAGGTAACACAGCTTTGAGTTCTTAAAAGACCTCTCCAATGGCTGTGGACAATAGGCTATGGGGATGTCTTAGTCCGTTTGGGTTGTATAACAAAAATACCATGGATGGGGGAGCTTAAACAACAAACATTTATTTCTCTCAGTTCTGAAAGCTGGGAAGTCCGAGATCAAGGTGTCCTGTATATATTTGGTGTCTGGTGAGAGCCAACTTCCTCGTTCTTAGGTGGGCATCTTTCTGCTGTGTTCTCACATGGTGGAAGGGGCAGAGGGGCTCTCTGGGGTCTTGTATAAGGGCACTAAACCCATTCAGGAGGGCTCCACTCTCGTGACCTGATCACCTTCCAAAGGCCCCCACCTCCTAACACCATCACATGGGGACTGGGCTTCAGCATATGAATCTGCAGGGGGCAAACACCCAATCTGTAGCTGGCAGGGAGATAGAGGCAAGGAGATAAGGTAGGAGACTTTCATAATCTTTCAAATGAGAGAGGATGGCAGTTCAAAAACAAAACAAGAGGTGAAGGAAGCCAGGTGAACAAATTTGAGGTGTGTTTTGGTGGTAGATGTATCAGTTAAAGCAATGTCAGCTACTGCAAGAGTTGACCCCAAAAGCTTGGTGGCTTTTCACATAAAGTCCAAACAGGTGTTCTAGAAGAGCCAGTGGCTGTCCGGCAAGTGTTGACTCAGGAACCCAGGATCCCTCAGTCTTGTGGCTCTGCCAGCCCCAGGACCTCAGAATCCTTTGCAGGATCTTCTTCATCCAGCAGATGGAGAAAGAGAACATGGAGAGGGCACACATGTTTCTTCGTGGGCCTAAGCACAGATCACGTCCCCTATATCCCATTGGTGAGAACCAGTCACATGGCCTCACCTGAATGATGGGGAGCTAAGAAAGGCAATCCCTGTGTGGGCAGCCACTTCTGGGCAACAGTTCTACGCTATGGGACGGGAACTCAGATCCTTAGTGTCCAATTGGCCATTTCTGTCATGGTAGAGTTGGCACATTTTCTGGTGGATTGCACATAGGGGTTGAAAGAAAGTGAGGCCCCCAGGATGACTCCTTGGCTTTTGACCTGAGCAAAGGTAGAAGGTGGTCATTAACTGAAATGGGAAGTTGGAGGAAGAGTAGGTTTATCCTAGAGGCAGGAGATATCAAAAGACCCATTTTGGTCATATGTAGTATGAGCTGCCTATGACACATCAAAAAGGAAATGTTGAAAAGGCAGTTGGTTATAAGTCAGGACCACAAAGGAAGGGTCAAGACTGGAGATTTAAATGTTGCATTTCCCTTTACCCAGGGCTTCTGATCCCAACCCTCCTCATACAGGTATGGGCCCCTCATTACCCTTGACCTTCAATGCATTAACTGCATCACATAACTTTAGTCCTCTTTAGAGATAATGTTTGTAATTCTATAACCCCTGAAATGATAACTGTTACTGTTACATGCATTCACTCATTCAACACGTAGTTTATTGAGTGCCTGCTATGTGCTGACCACTAGTGGTTAGTAAATAGTCTCTGCCCTGTGAAGATGCCATTTTAGGAGGAGAAGACAATAAATAAAGAAAGTATACCGTGTGTTAGCTGCCCTAGAGAACAATAGGGTGGGGTTAACGAGAAAATACCAGGGAAGTCAGGCGCTGGAGTTACTAGAAGCAGAAAGACTTCTATAATAAGGAACACTTGAGCAGAAACCTGAAGGAACTTGAGAGTTTGTGCAAACATAAACACAGATGTAGGGGCTCAATCAGCTAGAAGGGTTATCTAGATAACCCAGTATTTGCTTATGCCAATTTTGTGTCTATATGTCTATGTGCCTATATGGGGGAAGCATGTGCCAGGATAGGGCAAAGCAAAGGCAAAAGGCCCAGAGGCAGAACAGTACCTGGCATGTTCCAAAATCAGCCACGAGGCCAGTGTGGCTGGAGTAGGTGGGGATGGGGAAGAGTGGTAGGAGGATGAGGTCAGAGAGGTGGGAGGTGGGCAGGCCATGCAGTAGCCAAAACAGATTTTTTTTTTCCCCAACGCTTTCATGCAACTGGAGAAGGAGGGAGAAAAACAAACCTATTTCCTGGTGCAGAAATCTTTGCAAAGAAAGCAACACACAATCAATAACTTCCTGTGCAGCTCCCCAAATGAAACACTTTCAAAGTGGAGGATCTGCAACCAAAATAAGAAAGGGTAACAGTTTCACAACATGGAGCACAGAACGCACAGTGTTTCCTCCACAGTGTTTCCTCTTGCGGCAGGTTTTCTTCACAGTTAATTGCAGCCACATGTGAAGCCCGCTGGCTCGGAGGGGAAGCATTTTTAGCAAGCGCCATCAGAGACCCGGGCACACACTTCCCATCCCTCACACTCGGAGCAAGACCATTTGCGTGATTAGCTCAGGAGGATGGGAACCTTAAAATGCTGCAATGATAAATATTCTGTTTTCTGAATCTCAACTCCAGAAACTGAGCCAGAGGCCTTTTATTAGCTAGTTTTTAGAACATTAGAAGAAGCTGGTTTAAATGGGAAAAAATAAAGAAGTCTTTTTTCGGGATACACGGTTTCTCAGTCCTGTTAAATTACCTTGCCTGGTTCCGTCTTGATCTGCCCACTATGATGAGAGCCATGAAACAGACAAGCCAGCAGTGGAGTCTAGACCTTTCGAAGCTGCTCTTCATCGCTGTGTGACTCCTCAGACAGTGCTCAGCAATGTCCGCAAGAATGTGGGCAGGGCTCTACAGTGAATGCTCATGAGGTCGTCTTAGTTATTGCTGACATCCCCGGAACTGGTCTCATTTTCTCTGTTTTGTAGGAAAGTGAATTGTGGTTATCAACAAGGTCTTGGCTCCCCAACATCTAGAGGTCCTTCCTATTTGGGAGAAATTCTTCATTGGCTAGGTTTACAGAAGCTGAAGGGCGCCCCGTGACCCCTCCCTGGCAGCCAGGAGGTGGGCAAATGGTCTAGGCTCAGCCAACTGGATGTTCCTGCCCAGGATCTTGGTGATGGCAATATCAAGAGTCCTGGAATGGTAATGCCTGGGCCAAAGTGGGGAATCCAGTGCTGGGACAGTCATAACTCCTTCTGCCCCAGATGGTTCTGGGGAAGCCCTGATCACCCTCTCCAGCTCTGACCAGAGTTTGGTTCTCTACTCTTCCCACTTGTTTTTCAGCCACCCAATCCCCCTCCAACAAACTCCATTTCTGCTCATATTACTAGAGACCAACCATTTCTGCTCACTATAACCCAGAGCCCTGGCGTAACATTAAGTAATTTGCACACCCCCAATAAAGAACAGAAATTCCAGACTCCCAGAGTTGATGTACATTATTCTTGCTCCCAGGGACCTTGAATGTGTATAACCTCCTTAGAGGCTTGTAGCTAGGTCTTAAAAAGCTATCGAACACAAACACATTAGCAAGGTAAATACAAGCAACGCCACAGAATCACCAATGTTGACATTAACAGCATTGACCTCATACGACAGTTGGTGCTGCTTTATTAAATTAAATAGCTGTTAATGATATGAATGTGAAACGGACTGATATGGGCTCATGTGTTTTCATTTTATTACTACCATGGGCCATTTGATGACTTAACTCTCCTAACCTCTTTTTTCCATTCAAACCTCAGGGAACACTCATTCATACAGCTGATCTTGAGGTCATTTGCTCTTTACTTTGCACGGGTGCACCGTTCACTAATGAAGACTACTAATGTTCTTTGGCTCTTTGGGCTGGGACCATTAAAATTATTCTACTGGGCTCTGATGCCATTGCAAACATAAACACAAATGCAGGGGCTCAGTCAGCTAGAAGAGTCATCCGGACAACCCAATATTTGCTTGTATCAATTTTTTAAAGGTTAACGTCAAGAATACTAAATTTTAAAAATTCTCCTACAAAACTCATAAATTCCTAAGAATACATTTATGAACCTCAGTTTCAGAAATCATGGCAATGTAGTTAAGGAGGATAAGCTTTAAAAAAAGAAAAAAAAGGAGTGTAAACTTCGGAATAAAAGGGAAAAAATTCTAGTTTTGAATCCTAACCCCATCCTTTAAGAGTCTTGGAATGGTGAGCAAGTTGTAATCTGAGCCTTAATTTTCTTACCTGTAGAATGGAACAGTAAAACCTATCTTTCAGGACAGTGGTATTAAACAAGATAATTGTGTAACTATAATAAATGGTAGTCATTATTGTTATAGGTGTCCTAATTGACATTCAAATTGTTTAACATAGTTGCCCCAGTTCATACAACCATTTGGTCCCAGAGACAGACCTGGAGCCCAGATCCCCTCAACACCTCAAATCTTGTTTTTAAAAACATCTGTGCTGAGCAAGGTGAGACCCTTATGGGCAAGCTGCCTACCTTTTAGGGCTGTGCTCCTAGAGAGCTGCTGTGTCTGAGACATTTGCACTCTGCAGGAAATTGTTCATTCCAGGTTAATTTCGTGGATGATCATTCAAAAACACATGATCACATTATTCCCCTACTTGGAAACTATCCATTATACCTATGGTTCTCCAAATGGGGTCCCCTGATCAACAGGGACTTATTAGAAATGCAAATGCAAATTCTCAGGCCTGATCCCAGACATACTCCAGCAGAAGCTCTGGTGGTGAGGCCCAGTGTTCTGTGTTTCACTGAGCCCCTAGGATGATCCTGAAGCATGCTAAAGTTTAAAAACTCCTGCATGATAGGACCAAGTCCATACTTCCTTAGCACAGCATCCAAGTCTCTTCCTGTGCTGGTCCCAGGCTACTCTTCTAGCTTCTTCTCCAAACACTCCTGAAAACACTTTATGCTCCAGCACCATCAGACTTCACTTTCTGTCTTAAACGTGACAGGCCCTCTTATGCCTTGGTACGTGCAGTGCATTTCCCTCTACCGGGCATTTCTTCAAAAAGTCTCCTCCTCTGTGAAGCTTTCCCTGATTGCTTCAGGCTGGATGTGTGGCTCTGCAGCCTTTATGTCATATTTCTATTACATATATAGGGGTTTATCACACTGTATTGTCTCTCACTAGTTACTGAGACTGCTAGTTACCAATCATTATCCATGTTCTCCCTGCCCCAGCAAGAGAATGCTGATTTCCCAGCTCCCTTGCAAGACAGAAGTGGTCAATGAGATGCAAACAGAAGCTGATGGGTTTTGGGGGTGCTTGATGATTCAGCTGGCAGGTACTCTGCTGCTCTCCCCTCCTTCCTCCTTATATGAGCCAAGCTGCATTGCCCACCTTGCAGCCATGGGTAAGCTTGAGGCTGGGGGGACCATGCTAAGGATGGCAGAGAAAAAAACATAGCAGGAGCCTGGGACGTTGGTGACATTGTGAGGTCACTGCACCATCTCTGGACCTTTGTCCCCTGGCTTTAGGTTACATGATATTCAAATAAATCCCTTTCTTCCCTTCCCCTTTTCCTTCCTTCCTTCCTTCCTTCCTTTCTTCCTTCCTTCCTTCCTTCCTTCCTCTCTCCCTCCCTCCCTCCCTTCCTTCCTCCCTTCCTTCCTCTCCCTCTCTCTCCCTCCTTCCCTCCCTCCCTCTATCTTTCTCTCTCTCTTCCTCTCTTTCTTTCTTTTAATAAATCCCTTTCTTATTGGAGCCACGTTCCCCCCTCCCCGAGACTCTAACGACACAGTGTCTCAAAGGCAGGACTGTCTTTTACTCATTGCTGAATCTATGTGCCTGGCACAGAGCCTAGCAGATGCTTAATAAATACTTGAGGAAGGAATGAAAGAACAAATCCTTATTCTTTCTGTTGCAGAAGGAATCGGAGCTTGCATATCGGGCCTAAAATTGCCTTCTTGGAAACTCTGGGAAACCACATCAGGTTAAAAATAAAGACAGATCTTTTAAATTTTATTTTAAATTAAAATGTCACAGTTGTAACTGAAACCAGGATAACATTATCCTACCACTGGACAGAAAATAGGTGCTAAATGAAGACATGTGTCACTCCTGCTTAAAATCCCACAATAGTTCCCCATGCCTCTTAAAGTCTTAAATTCCTAGCGTTTTCTGTTTTTTCACTGTTTTTTAAAAATTTTTAGAGTGATAACTGTAGATTTACGTGCAATTATAATAAATAATAGAGATCCCATGTACCCTTTGTCCAGTTTTCTCCGACGCAAACTATAGTACAATATCATAACCAGAAAACTGACATTGATACAATCCACCAATCTGATTCAGTTCCAGTTTTTGCTTGTATTCATTTGTGTGTGTGTATGTGCACGCATACGTGTGTGTTTAATCCTTTACCATTTTACCATGTTTAGGTACCCACATATCCACCTCCACAGTCAAGACACAGAATATTTCCATCACCACAAGGATCCTCTGCATTGCTCTTTTATACCCACACTTACCTCCCTCCTGCTGTGCCCTCTCTCCCCATCCCTGACCCTGGCAACCGCCAAGCTAGTCACAATTTCTAAAATTTCTCATTTTAAAATGTTCTATAAATGGAATAACACAGTATGCCACCTTTTGGGATTGGCTTCTCTCCCTCGGCATAAGTCCCTGGAGATCCATCCAAGTTGTTGTGTGTATCAATCTTTCCATTCCTTATACTGCTGAGTAATTACTACTCAGTGGTTTGGATGGACCACAGTTTGTTTAACCATTGGCCTGTTGAAGGACATCTGGGCTATTTCCACATTTGTGCTATCACAAATAAAGATGCCTATGAACATTCATGTACAAGTTTTTGTATGAATATGCCCACTACTTTTTGAACCCCTTCCTATGATTGAAGTGTTCACTCCCTTATGAGTCCTGCCTACTGAAGACAGAAGTCAGAAAAACTCATTTTCCCAACTTGCATCCGAGGAACTTAGGCTCTGTCCATCAGACACAGCCACGTGAGAATTTGTTCACATATGAGCTGTGTGAGGAAGAAGGTACTCCAGAGAATCCATTTTTAAAGCAGGATAAGTGAAGAGGGCAGCAGTTATGGAGGTCTGGGTGTCCATGTCACGGCAGCCAGTGAGCTTCAGTGACTATACCAGAGGGGGGTGGGGTGGGCAGTGGTGTCTTTGGTGAAAGTCCTTTGGGGAGGTTTGGGCATTGTTTTTCGTCCTGTGGTCTCCCAGCCCCATTCTAGGACCCTCGTAGAGAGGTGAACTACCTAATATTCTTTTCAAAGTTTGCTTTCTGCTTAAATAAGCTTGAGTAGATTCTGTCATCTACAACTAAGAACTCCCACCAACCTCCCTCTCTAGCCTCATTTCTAGCTCCTCCTTATTCGCAACGCTCCAGCTATCCTACACTCTTTTCAGTTTCCCAAATATACCTTACTGGCTTCATATACTTTCCCGTTTACAGTGCATCTCATGTTGTATTAACGTTGTTTACTTCTCTGGCTATTCTCAGAACTGTGAATGCAGTCCCAGCCTCCATCACACTTCTACTGCCCTTAGCATACGATCAACCAATATTCAAATGATTGCTTATCTTTATCTTTGATGATATAAGAACAATTCCTGTGACCAGTACTATTATGGTCACTTTGCCACTCTGAACTAAAGTTTCATAATCTATAAAATGGAGTAACATTGCTAAGAGAAGGACAGTATAAACAACAACAAAACACCCGATTGAAAAATGGGCAAGGCACTTGAATAGATATCTTTCCAAAGAAGATCTATAAATGGCCAATAAACACATGAAGATGTTCAACATCACTAATAATTAAGGAGATGTGAATCAAGACCACACTCAGTAGGATGGCTGCTACCAAAAAAACGCAGAAAACCAAGTGTTGGCGAAGATGTGGAGAAACTGGAATCCTCATGCACTGT